TGTGACTAAATAAACAATGAAGACTCATAAGAGCCCCTGCTCTGTAAGCATCCAGAAACATTGGTGAGTAATATGGATATAAAGACAATTAAAATAACTGGATTCTCTAGCAAAAATCTAGTTGTGTTAACCTTGTTTTACTTGAAAGTTTGCCCAAAATACAAGACCTATTTTTCTCATTTATATGACATTTAAGCTGACTATGACCTGCTTACACAACGTGTATGCAGATACACTGCAACACTCCGAAATCTACCAAATGTGAGGTCTTTAAATCACAGTACCTTCCTGTCAAGTTGTCTCGCACGCATTTTCAGCTCCATTGCCACAGAGATCATGGCCTCCTGAACCTCTGTTTCAAAGCCACTTTCACAGGACACAGTGGAGTACCAGGAAGCAACAAAGTCCCTGATGATTTTCCTCACAGTGTTGTGGATCTCCTGGTCCAAGCAATTCTCATCCTCCACAGAGGATGTAACCTGAAAATTAGGAATTGCAAAATGAATTAAGTAATTCTGGAGCCTGTTTCCCAAAACCAACTTAAGACTAACATAGCCCAGCAAATTAAACTTGTGTAACCATGTCAACAAAATACATGAAACTAGAGTTGTAAACCACAGAACACTGTACATTTACCTGCTCAAGGGCAATAAACCTCTCCAGGTGAACCACATTGTTGGACTCCAGGACTGCCTGTGAACCAAGCCAGCCACCAAGCACCACCAGCAGGCTGGTGAACATGCACAGCAACCAGATGTTGACCAGTAGGTGGAAAAGCACCAGCCATGCCAACACCACACCAAAGCCTAATAAGTTCCTCTTTCCCAACACCTCAGTCATGGCACTGCAGGGTTTACTGTGTGGCTTGACAGCCTCTGGAAGAGAAGTGAAGATCACAGACACCAGGGCAACATCACACACTGAAAAACAAAACCAATGGAGAAAACACAAGTATTATGTGCAAATCAGACAGAGAAGCTGTGTGGAAGTAAGAATGAGATCGGTAAGACTAAAATTGGATGAATGCATGGTCAAAATAAGCAAAAGCAAAAGCTGGTCAGGGGCAACGATGAACTGTTGGACATGACTCCTTTTCTACAAACCTTCTGCATGAGTATTCCAGAGCTTCAATTATGGAGGAGCATGCAGACAGCAGTCTACAGCTGGCAAAATTACTTGTATAGGATTTTGCCTCAAGCCCTTAAAAATCAGCCATTATTCATGTTTGCTGTGCCTTTCTAATTAAAGTCTACTTTTACAATTTATTTGTGAATATGAAGCAGTAATATCCATTACAGTACAATTATATTAAACTCATATTTTTATACACCTGGCATTATTAAACACTGCTTAATTTTACTACAGCTCTGGTTGACTATTAATAAGTAATTTAGTTCTCGTTAACATAAAGCCAAAACATGTTTAGACATCCTGTATCTACGAGGTCAAGGTGCCCCAGCAGCAAACAAATATGTAGTCGCTTTACCATCTATTCATACTGAGTTCGGTCTCACACGGTTATTTAACTATTGTTTATCTGTATGTATGGCTTCTAATAACGTGGAGCAGCTAGTGTGTGATCTGGTAAGAAAAGCGATACCAAAAGCCGCAGAGAAATGTGACAAGCCTGCTTTTAAAACCGTACTGACTCCATTAAATGAAACAGCAGAGCATTCGCTACGCAGCTTATTCGACTTGAAACTATACATTTCCACATAATATCTATCAACTTGATGATTAAGTTGATGCTACTTTGTATAGCATCAGTAACACTTCCTCCGACAACACCCTCCATGGCTAATTAGTACGTTAGTGGAAGAGAACTAAGAAAGAAAAGCAGGGGACATAAGACGAACTATTAGAAACAGTTATTTCTTGGTGTACTGCACATATGCCGAAATGAAAACAAGATGTTATCCATTTCTTGGAGGTCTAAAATAATGTCCTGCGTGATGTTATTATTTGCCATTGGACAAACCAACCTTAAATTGCCTCTTTTTTTTT